TCTAATTTATTTATTAAATGTTAGATTGTTGAGTATAATATAATTAAGCGTAGCCTAACCTTATATGTTCGGAGTTAATAATCGAACCCTTTTGGATTCTAGGGATAAAGTGCCACATTTGGAACTCAATTATTTGTTTTGAAATTAATGTTTTGAAATGTTCATTTGATGGAACATTTAGGTAGGCCCCGTTCTTACCAATCATTGATTAGGAAAAGAATAAACAATATGGAGTTATTGGGTCACCACTTGTATATATACATGTACTCTTCCTTTGTTTAGCCAAAAGACAATCATAAATAATGAAACCATTATCAAAGTTAATGATACTTTTCAATAAACAGAAAACAACCTCCATTAATATGGACCTCCCTTCATTAAATGGGGTCTAATTTGAGTAAACAATTCATATACCATAATGTTTTAGTATCTTCCTATTATCTTATGATGATCCATCATTATATGGGTTTTCAGATTTAGAATTATGAGACATATTTAAGATTTAATTCCACTTTTCAATACTCTCACCAAGCTTCAAACTGCAATGCATACATCCTTGTATGTATATATGCACAAATATATTTAATAATAGAGTCATAAACCATACAAAACCTTCTCACGGGATATCAAACTTAGGTACCTAAGCACCATTTACGCATAAAAAAACAAAAGGGAGGAAAGTATTGAAGATATGAGAGGTTGATATGATAGGAGTGTGAAAAATTCCAACGACATCAATTATGTTTAATTGTGTTGGGACCAACGGAAGGGAAGGGTTAACAAGTAATACAAAAGAAGGAAACAAATAGTAGGAAGAAGAAACTATCGCTGGATAGTCGAGTGGTTTGATAATGATTTTAAAAGCATCTTTAATGGTATTTTTTATTTTAAAGAGCATATTTCATATAAATAAAGAGTATTTTTATTAATTTCTAAATATAAAGAATAAAATTTGTATTTAAATCTAATAGATTCTTTAAATTAGATTTGATAAATAAGAGAGAAACTTAATGGGAGAGAGAATTAATCATAAAATGCATGGAAACTTGTAATTTATTAAATAAAATAGGGATAGAGAGTGAAATTTGACTCTCTATATGTAGAGAGCAACTCACTCTTTAATTTATATTTAAAGAATAAAGAGTTTATTGGACTCTTGTTTTTATAGACAAACTCTTTATAATAAAGAGTTTGAGTCATATAATGAGTTCTTTGAAGATGCTCTAAAAAGTTTTGAATTCAAATTTCTCTTCAGTTGCTAATAGAAGTAGTTACTAAAACTCTTATCAGATCAATAATTTCAAAGTCTCAAGAGATTAGCTAAGGTATGTGTAAGTTAGTTCATACATCTCTTAGGATTAAAAAAAAAAAAAAAATACAAGTGGGTGTGTCAATTTAAATTAAGTGAGGTGATAAATTAAGAGATAAAGACAGCATATTTATCCAACAAACCAAACCTTAAATTAAGGGGAGCTAATTAAGCATACAGAGAAACAGGTAAGCAATTACCATCTTTTCACAAGGTTGCTTTTCTAGGGAACACAAAAATTGGTGTCTCTACTCCTTCTTTTCTTTTTTATTTATTTTTTTTTATTTTTTATGAGTAGAATTTGAAATAGTCTTGACTCTTCATCTAATAATGAGAGGATTATATTTTTTATAACCTAATAGACTTGAGATTTGAGCGTGTCTAGTCATATCAGACTCCAACACTCTCCCTCATGATCAAACTCATATGTTAGGTCATGTCTATTATTGAAGGTAGTTATTGGCTCTAACTCTTCACCCGCTGATAAAGCACTCAACTCAACTGAACATGAGCTCTGATACCATGATAGAATTTGAGGTGAGTTTGACTCTTCTCCCAATAAGGCATTATTAAATGGGAGGATTACTCCCTTTTATAACCTAATAAACTTGAACTTGTCTAATCGATTTGGGACTTCAATATTGTACCGTGCACACACACTCACCCCTCTCTCCCAAATGCTGCTCTGCATGCACATCATAATAAAAACTTGCTTTACTCATTTAGAAATTAGAATCTTGGGTTGTTTTCAATTTTCATCCATATCCATCTTCCTCCATCTCTTTCTGGTTGGTAACTTGTCTTACCATGCAAAGGCAACCTTGAGTATTATCACTTTACCTTTTCTTTTTTTTTTTTTCTTTTTGTTTGAGTTTGGTAGAGCAGGAAACCCTGACGTGATTTGTTTAATAATAGAGGAGAAGAAAAAATTAACCATGCATCACTGTTTACTACTGATATTTTTTTGGTCCATTATTCATGCATACACGACTCCTCTTTACTTTTGATTTATTTACTCTCTTCTTTTCTCACTTTATTACATTCTCTTTCTGTGAATTAAACCTCTGATTTGATTCTTGTTCAAAAGGGATTGAATGTACATATATAATCATATAAAAGTTAAATTATAAAGAGCGATAGTTCTTCACTTCAAAAGATATTATTATAAAGGAAATCACTCCTTTTTTTTTTTTTTTTTTGTTTTATTACTCAGGATTAAGACTAAATTCATCATATGGGTGATCTACCTGATAAAAAACTATAATTTATACATACATACCATAGTCTTCGAATTAAAACTACCGTTAGATATACATACACAGTAATCTTCGAATTAAAAGTAACATTACAGTGTCTGTCAATTTCCAAAAGATGAGTAGAATCATATCTGATATACCATACACATCCGACAATGTCTTTGTCCGATTTGACTCACCTCTTGACGGATATAAGATCTGCTTTGATGCCATTGATCAAAAGCTTACCAACTATGCAGTTATTTTTTGGTTTCGAAATCTATATATGAACAATAAACACCTTAAGAAATATTCACAAAATCATCAGAAGATAAGATGTTGGTACTACTGTATATATAGTACGTTGTAAATTAATTAGATAGCGGTGTTCAATTCCAACAGGAAAAGAAAATAAACTAGTGATCTTTTGAGATGTTATGGGTTCAGTCATAAATAATTTTAATAAATATTTTCCCAAAATTAGACATTTCGTGAGCTAGAAGATGGGAAGAATGGAAGAAATTAAAAATACTCATATGATTATTTATGCTATTTCTAAGTAATACTTCAATAAGGTTAAGTTAAATTATTGGGAGAACAACATTTTCCCACCCAAGGTTTGACGAAACGACACTTTTATACTCGTCAAGTTTTAAAATGACACTTTTCCATCTTTCGTTAGGTTCTATTAGTGTTTTCTGTTAATATTTGATTGAAAAGATGAAAATACCCTTAAATAGTTTATTTCTTAATTAGTTTATTATAAATTAAAATTTAGTTAAATCAAAGTTTTTACCGGATTATTTATTAGTTCAAGTATAAAGATATATTTTTTCCTTTGTTTATTTAATTAATTAGGAATATTGATTTTCTATGTTAGTTAGTAAAAATGAAAAACATTATAAATTTAGTAAATTATTGAATAATAGTGATGAGATATTGATGATATTATAAATAAATAAATAAATAAATATTAAGATTATTTAATTTTAATATTACTCTTAACTTTGTTGGTGGGGCTTAAAAAATAATAAGAAATTTATAAAGTCAAATGTTTAAGGGTATTTTTGTCATTCCCCCTAAATTATTTGATCCGATGTGCCATTGCTAATCACTTAACTTTATAGTTTCTTCTATTGCCATTTACATTAGTAATGATAGTGAGAGAAGAACAACTTTGATAATTGATATCTTATCTATCACAAAGGATGTATATATATCCATACATGCATTTAGAAAGAGAAAATTAATTGATGTTGTTTCATACTTTCTAGAGTGAAGAGAAAGTTGATAGAGATTTAATTAAGTTCAATAATAATCTTTAATATGGGTCAGTTAATAAGATTGATATATAATATCTCTTTTAACTGCTTGTCTCATGGCCGAATGAGAAGACTTTAGCTAATTTGGTAAAGTGATCATCTATCACATCTGTAACTTATTTGGCTCGTTGACTTATAGGATATTTTAGTTAAGATGCGTGTAAATTGATTTGGACATTTCGGTTATATAAAAAAAAGAAAAAAAAAATTGACCCTTTATCAAATTATTGTATGTAATTGTAGCTAGCTAGCATTGCTCAAAAGAAAAATGATGTTTCCCACATCCCATGTGGAAAAGCTCTATTTTTTCCCTACCTCTCTCATGAATGCCAAAACTTTTGAAGCTCACTTTACTAGCTTTTCACAAGAAGTTGAAAGTTGAATTTATTCCTCTTTTTCTTTGTTGATAATGTTATACAACGGAACCCAAGCTAGTTTATAAACATGAAAAATCAAGAGAGAAAAAAAGGTAAAAGAAAGTGTATTTTCATCATATATAAATGAAAACTATAATGAGTTGGGGTATCAAATAGAGAGAGAAAAGAAAGAAAGAGATTGAGGTATGATTTATTTGTTGCTGTGGGGTATCTTATAAAGACAAATGATAAAAAGGATATGTATAAAAAAAACCATACTCCCCCATACAAATCCCAACACCTTTTGTTATTTTCTTACTACCCATCAAAGGAACAACCTCCTTTGCCTTTCTTTTTTCCATTTATTAATTAGATACATATCTAATTATACTATCATAATCATCACCACTCTTATTTATTTATGCCAACAATGGTAACACACAGAGAGAGAGATTCTCTAAATAATATAATGTTGGTGGGGACATGACAACAAATGCCCCTCAAAAATGATGTGCTTAATTAGAGAGACCCCTTTTTCTTATTATTATTTTGAGAGAGAAAATTGATTGGAGAGGCATTGACTGGCCCCTCCAAAGGCAGAACCAGATGAATTCATAAGGCACATTTGAACACATACCCAATTGGAGAGGGTTTTGATTTGGGGCCCGAAGGTTGAAAGGTTGGTGCGTGTAATGCACTAGTTGAAGCAGCATGTGGAAGTAAGTGGAAAGGAAATGGAGTTGCATTTAAGCTACTGGCTTTTGTAATAAACAGAGAAGAGTAATAGTTTGTCAGGGGTTAAGAGCAAGAGAACGTGCAGTATTTGAAGGGCACATAGATCTGGATCCACTCAAAACTCCCCAACTCCCCACACTCTCCTCACTGCCACTCCGACCACTCTTTGTGTTTTCTTTTTCTTTTTTTATAAATTCAAGAAGAGAGAGAGAGAGAGAGAGGAGAGAGAGGGAGGGGTAATAAAAGAGTCTAGGGAGGGAGAGATATCCAGCTTTGACTGTCCACTCTTTACTCAGAGCCCAAAATACACAGTAGTAGCAGCTGCAACAATTGATGGTTCTTCAGCTGTAGTTCTGCTACCATCTGCTACTTGGTAGCCTCGACAGGAGGCGGTGGTTTCGCTATTATAGTAAAAAAAAAATCAAAGATAGAAGAAAGGAACAACTGAAGCTAAAGGGGTCTTTTTTTTCTAATATGTGATATATCTCTCATTTTGGTAAGCCGTACTAACATACCCAGAACTGGGTTTCAATTTTAATTTGGAAGTTAAACTTGAGAAAGAGCAGGAGCTTAAAAGTGATTTTATTTGTTTTTTTATGTTACTATTTCTTCTCTTATTAGTTATTACTGCAACGTTTCTGCTATTGCTCGTGTTTGCTTTATAAAGAAATTTTCAAGTTTCAACTGCTAGCTACCATGGTTTTCTTTTCCTTTTAACAAAGGCAACTCTCAGCGTCATCCTCTCTTAGTTTTTCCAAGATTTTTTTCTTCTTTTAATCACCACACGAGAATACTATCTGTTCTTTCTCTTTTCTTACCTTCTCTTTTTTTTTTTTTTTTTTTTTTAAAATTCACCTTTCTTTTCTTGGGTTTTGCAGGATTAGAAGAGAAAAAGGGACACTATTTGTGCTCACTCATCATAGAGAAAGTTTGGTAGGTAGGGTTTGTTTGTTGAGAAAGAAGTTTTACTTGTAAAGAGAGACCTTACTTACTATAACCCTTAGCTCCTCACTCACTCTCATAAATCCAGAAACTTGTACTTAGCCACACAACATTTGAAGAGTGGGGGTAGTTGGTGTGAAAATCTACTCCCAACCCATCAGCTAACCATGGACGGTTACGAAGCAACACGAATTGTTTTCTCAAGAATCCAAAACTTAGACCCTGAAAATGCCTCCAAAATCATGGGTCTACTTCTCATTCAAGATCATGGCGAGAAAGAAATGATTAGATTAGCTTTTGGCCCTGAAGCTCTTGTCCACTCACTCATACTTAAAGCCAGGAAAGAACTTGGTCTTCCTTCTAACTCTCCAAACTCACCTTCAACTCCATCTTCTCCATCTCCTTTTATACCCAACAAACCAGTTAACATTTCTAGACAAAACTCTTCTTCTTCTCGTCTTCTAGCAAACACTCTCCCACCTCTCACCATACCAAACCCTGCTTCTTCTTCTTCTTCAGGTGCTACCTCTTGTTGGAGTGCTTTACCTCATGATCTTCCCAACCCTGATGACTTAATTACTCCAAACACTAGTAGTAAAATGAATTCTTCAGCTTTACCTTTCTATGCTAATGGAGGAGGCTCCAACGATATCATCGATGAAATTCAACTCCATGACCACCTTTCGTTTCTCAATGATAACACACCAAATCTTGGTAACAAAAACCAAGACTTGTTTTACCCACAACTTGACTTGTCATCTAGCCCACCAAACGGTGACTCAATGCTTTTCCCTTCTTACTGGGGAGGCAGCTCAGTTCATAGAAGAAGCTGTTCAGTCAGTGATGTGTTGGGGTCAGCTGAGGATTTAAACTCAGGGTTTGGGTGGAGGCCATGTTTGTATTATGCTAGAGGGTACTGCAAAAATGGAAGTAGTTGCAGATTTATTCATGGGGATTCAGGTGCTATGATGAGTTCAGATGGTGCGCCGTTAGTGGGTTCACCTAGCAAGATTGAGACCATGGACCAGTGCCATGAGATTCTTAGATCTAAGTCTGCAGCTCAAGTTCAGCAACAAAGACTAGCTGCCGCTTCGCAGCTTATGGGTGGTTCTTCTTCTTTTCCTTACTCCCCAAAAAGCGTGAACATGTTTCTTCAGCCGCAACAAAATGATACCCAGAGGTGAAAGCAGAGTCCTTCTGGTAGTGTTCGTTACACTGTTCAACGAGTTAATTAACCAAAGTTTCTTATTTCTATGATGTAGGGCTGCGGCTGCTTTGATGATGAATGAAGATATGCACAAATTTGGCCGATCTCGGCTCGAAAGGAACGATTTTTCGAGGAACGAGTTTTCGATAAACGGTGGTTCAAGTATGGTGAATCCAGCGTCAAGACAGATCTACTTGACTTTTCCAGCTGATAGCACATTTAGAGAGGAAGATGTCTCAAGTTACTTCAGGTTTGGTTTAGTATTTAGCTTTAGTTTGTTAGTTTTCTGCAAACTTTGAAGAACTTTTAGGCTGAAGTTATTTGGTTCATTTGTTTTTGAAGCAATTATGGGCCGGTGCAAGATGTGAGGATTCCATACCAGCAGAAGAGGATGTTTGGATTTGTTACTTTTGTTTTTCCGGAGACTGTGAAGATTATTCTTGCCAAGGGGAACCCTCATTTTGTTTGTGATGCACGGGTGCTTGTTAAGCCATACAAGGAGAAAGGCAAAGTTCCAGACAAGTACAGGCACTCTCTCTTTTCTTTCACTCTCTACCTTCAACTCTAAATCGCATTATTTTACTGGTTGCTATTGATTATTTTTGGGTAACAATAGTCTTCTTTTGTTATTTTTGCAGGAAGCAACAGCAACAAGTTGAGAGAGGAGAGTTCTCTCCATGTGGTACCCCAACTGGCCTTGATTCAAGGGACCCTTTTGATCTTGGTAATTTCAAACCCAAATCTTCGTTTCTTTTTCTCATCAATTTTTTTTTTTTTTTTCCTCATCTGACACTTTTTTTAACTTTGTAGGGGCAAGAATGTTCTACAATAACACTCAGGACATGCTATGGAGGAGGAAAATGGAAGAGCAAGCTGATTTGCAGCAAGCTCTTGAGCTTCAAAGTAGAAGATTAATGGGCCTGCAACTTCTTGACGTTAAGAATAAGCATCACCATCACAGGGCTCTTTCCACTGGCAGTCCTATTCCATCCCCAACTCAGTCTCCAAATCTTTTCAATCAAAATCTTGTTTTCCCTCCATTCCAGAGCAGCAGCTCAGAACTTCACCCAGGTAATATTCCCTTAAAAAATATCACTGTATCTCATATTTTCTGTTAGAAATTCATCGGTTTAAGAAATTGAGACTTTGGATTTTTTTTTTTTTAATTGCAGAAAATTGTTCAAGTCCTTTGCCAACTATTTCTGTGAACCCTTTCTCTCAGAAGCAAGCAACAAATGGTTCCATTGGCAAAGAAACGGCCAGCAGTGAAGAGAACAGTAGTGGAAAGGAGAGCTCCAATAGTGAAGATGGTGATGTGCTAGAAAGGTAAAAATCTTTTACCTTTCAAATTAGGTAAATAATTTGTTTCATGATAATTGTTTTCACCAATTGATGATTACAGTTTGGAGCACAATCTCCCTGATAGTCCCTTTGCATCTCCAACTAAAGGCTGTTCAGAGTACATGTTAGCTTTCTCCAGTGTTGCCAATGGAGCTGAAAAGGATGATTCATCTGCTGCTAACAATAATTTGGTCACTTCAAACTTAATTCCTGCTAATGGTTCACTAGACATGGCATCTTTCAAATCCTTTAACTGTCAAATTCCCAGGTTAAAAAATAAAAATAAAAATAAAAACTATTAATCATCATATCATAATTGATTTTTGTAATTTCTTTTTCTTTAATTCAATTCCTTGTGATCAAATTCAGGTTTTCTTCTGGCCATGGAGCTATAGGCATGTATACTGGGACCGGCGGGCCGACTTGCCCGGTTGGAATTTAGCTTCCTTTGCTTAGGTAAATGCTCAACTTTGGATTCTCTTGTGTAAATTTGTAATCTTCACAATGATACAAAATTTGTTGATGTATGGTATTGAAGTTGGTTGGTTTGTTCTGGTTGTTTTATCTTGGTGTTACAGGAAGATTCAGGAGTAGAACCAAACAACCTACTTACATCAGAGATCCGTAGAAAACCACCATCGCCTCTATAAACACAAATCATCGTCATCATCGTCATCTCCATCCGCCATCCGTTGATACAATACTACTTACTACCATACAAAATGCATACGTAAAAGGCTGTGAAGGAAGTGGGTCAGCCATTCCTTTCTTTGTTGTAATATTTTTGTCTTTCAATTCAGTAGTTGAAAAGTTGGACCACAGATTAAAGAAAGAAAAAAAAAAAAGAAAGAAAGAACCGAAAGAAAAAAGAAAAGATAGAAAAGATCCCATCACAGTCAATCTGTAGTTGTAACTTCTGTGAACAGTAATTTCTTCTTTTTTTTTTTTACCACTCCTGGTTTCCCTAGAAGGAACAGAGAAAAGAACCCTTTGTTTAGGTTTTTAGTTTGTTAGTCTGTGTTTTTAGGGGTATAATCAAAATCTTTTGTACAGCAGAAGCCAGAAGCAGAGGCCAGCAGAATCCAAAGGTAAAAGCACAGTATAACTAGGAAGCCTGTTTTCTACCCATAAAGGGTAATATTTTCTTTTCTGTTTTGTTGGCTTGGATGGGAAAAAGAAAGGGAAGGTAATTGTCCATTTCAGTTTATGTATAAGAAAGAAGTAGATCCACTATTATTATTATTAATTATTATTATTATTATGTGTTGTTGTAATACCCTTTTACATGTTATCATCAGAAGACACACAAAAATCAGCAATGAAACAGCAAAACAATCATCTTTCCATAATCTCTGAAACAAAATTTGTTCTTTCTTTGTCTCTTTCAAAGACTCTGGTATGTTTTTGTTGTAAAATTAATAATAATAATAATAATAATGATGCAAGAGGAGGAAGAGGAAGTGAGGAAGAAGGGCCCCAAGAAGGCACACAGTCACATGGGTGGGTAATGGGTTTGCACTTGCAGTTGGGGTCCTACTTGAAAGAACCAAAAAAAAAAAAAAAAAGAGATAAGAAAATCGATGAAAATTGCCAGGTTGTTTGTAGGTCCGAATTCCCATGTGAGTGATGCCACTTTCTTCCTTTCTTCTTTTACTTTCTCATAACGAGGCTATTCGGTGACAGCAAAGGGCACCTTCACATTCACATTTTTCAAAACCCAATTCAGTGATTGTGATTGTGATTGTGATTGTGATTGTGATGCCGTATGACAAAAGTTCACAGTTGCAGTGCAGGCCAGGAATCTATTGGGTTCTGTGCATTCTCTTCTCTCTCTCTCTCTCTCTTTTTACTTTTAAACTTCTTTTAACAGTGGCTGCCTTTGGGTTCTGTAAAAACCTTGAAGAAAGAGAGATGAAGTGCAAAGCCGTCGTGTGGTTTAATGAAGAACACGTAGGGCCTTTAAAGTGATGAAATTTTCAACCAAGTGGTTGAGTATTATTTGAAGTTCTTGAAAAAGGAATATCCATGGTTATTATGATTAATCATTGTTTAATCTTATAGTCCCCATCTCATTAGACTTTGGACTTTGTTTCTTCCCACTAACAAATCTTTTATTATTATCATCAGAAATTATATACTTGCCCACGATTCTTCCGCAAAGTTCCATATTCTAAGAGCAATCATCCTTAATTTCCATTGCTTTCTGGCGGTTCGGCGGCTTTGTTTATTTCTGTTTCTCATCAAGTGAAAGATGTGGAAAGAGTAATTATTGAAATTTGTAAGATTTTTGTGGTCAATTGACTTTACTTACCTGGGTTTCTTCGAATCTACGGCTTCGTCTTGGTTTTCGGCTGATTGTAGATGGTTACGTCAGTTTGCACATCGACTAATCTGTTAAGAATCAAAAGTTAATGATTGGATAAACTCTCTAATAATTATATCTGTTAGCAATTAAAGGGAATCAAACTCAAGACCTTTTGAATAATACATCCAAAAACCTTCATCGTCTCCCTCGCCCACCCAGAGGTGGTTCGACGGCTTTGTTTATCCGTGTTTCTTATCAAGTGAAAGATGTGGAAGAGTAATTATTGAAATTTGTAATATTTTTGTAGTCAATTGACTTTACTTATCTGGGTTTCTTTGAATCCACGACTTCTTTTTTTTCGGCTGATTGGATATAGTTAGGTCAGTTTGGGCACTTTGACTAATCCCTTGAGACCTTAAAGTTAATGACGAGATAAACCCTCTAATGGTCATATCTGTTAGCAATTGAAGGGAATCGAACTCAAGACCTCTTAAATAATATACCCGAAAGCCTCCGTTGCCCCCCTTCAGCCACCTAGATCTATGCTTATTTTCAACTCTCATAAGCATTTTGTCACTTAATCAACATTCGTGAATGAGAAACCATTGATCGAACTACCAAGTCGGTAAAATTGGATGCTATTATATTTATATAGTTTTTTATTGGTTAAGTACACAAGTTGAAGATAAGCGAACTTGAACCGATGACGCCCAAGTTATGCATTGGAATGAAAAATAATTTAAAAAAGGAAGACCGAGGATGTAGAAGATCATAACATCAGTGATTTGATAATGCTTTATCCCTAAATGTCCGATCAAATTTTCTGGGTTTTCAATAGATATTTATAAGCTCAAAATCAAATTAACAAATATGTAAATGACAAAAACAAGGAAGATACATATGTACCTTAACTGGCATGTTCTTATGCATGTGATTTTTTTTACACGCCATGTGACTGCACGTGATATCTTTCATCTATGCTTTGATCTCGGCCTTTATAAAAGTATACAATTGTTAAATTAGTTAATTAATTAATAATTTCAACTAATTTTGCTACTATTTATTGTCACACCTAATTCTTTCTTTTTGAGATGTGACCATCTGCATCTTTTGGGCCTTTTATGGGCTTAATTTTACCAAGATGGGCCGAGTTGAAATCCAAATTGAGTTATGGGCCGAGTTGAATCCAAATGTGGTTAGGTATTAATGGGCCGAGTTGAAATCCAAATGGAGTTATGGGCTTTGAGCACAAACCTGGGTATGGGCTACGTTAGACTTGGGCTTAATGTTCTTAGAAACCCAAGATGCCAATAAAATTCTCACCATAAGGTTTGACCTGAGTACCTCAACCGCCTTGGTTAGTCTGATGGTAAAAAAGTAAAAAGAAGTTTCATGAGCTCATGAGTTTGAGTCCCCATAGACCCTAATAGGGGTAAGTCCCCACAGACCCTAATAGGGATTATCACTGAGAGGATTACCCGGTCGTCAACTTTAAAGCCCAAAATGATTAGTTGAGGTACGTGTGAAATGGCTCGGAACCTGTCACCAAAAAGGAAAAAGACCTAAGTGCCTTGACTATTTGAAAGTAAAACTTAGTTCCTTATCAGTTAACAATAATTTAATATATTTTTCTCAAAAAGTCTAAATCACTCAGTAATCTTATCTTATATAACCGACATTAAAAATTAATAAAATTATAAAAAAGAAAATACTTAATTTAAGAGTTGATTATAATTTATAGAAATGAGCGTATTAGTTTGCCCATTTGAATTTATTAATGAAATTTAGAAAATAGAAAAAATTAAATAAATAAATAAAAAAATAAAAGGTGACATATTTTGTAAAAATATTAAAATTTTCATATGAGTCATTACTCATTTGGGTCATTAATTATAAATAAAAAAAAAAAGTAAACATTGGACACCGTTATGTAAGTGATCAATAATTTTTGTTCTTGTTTAATGACACATTTATTAAGACTTTAATTTTGCTTTAAATGTTGTTTCTTCTGTTTTTTCCTTTTTTTTATTAATTTGTTTCAATAATTGAGCTATAATAGATATATATGCTTTCCATCTTTTCGTGGAGAAATTAAGGCTATAATTAATAAACATAATTATTTCCCCGTTTAAATTGGGGTTTTCCCTTTAATTTAATACCTATTTACATAACTTTTGGACGAGATTAAAACGTTTGGAATCAAACTAAAACTAACAACACAAATACCGCAATAAGTAAAGAGAAAGAAACACGTGAGATTTCCAATAGAGTAAATGTTATTGAAATATTTTTCTCACCTCTATCTTTATAATTAATGTATTTAGTATGATTTTTTATATCAGTTATACAAGAGAATAACGTATTTAGATCCTAGGTTTTATAAGAGAAACCTAAAACTATTAGGATTCGTAAATATTCCTTAAAGAATACTACAAAGGCTATTCATGGCATTAACCCAAACCCTATTTGGACCCGTGCACGTCGCCCCTTATAAGTGAACCCCTTAACAATATGATCATCTAGTTTTTTAATTTGATTCTTGATTATTGTCCATATTTGACATTGGATTTGAATATTTGAGTAATACTATATTAACAACCTTTTCTCACAACCCTGATGTGATAACTCGCAATTAGTCAGCTCGTAATTAATTAGTAAGACGCATGTGAACCGAACAATTACGAGTTACTTCATCAAGATTTGAAAGATGATTATTGGTGTAATATTACTTCTTTACGAATCTTTGAAACAATATAGATATGGCCAAATATCACTTGGTATATTATGGAATATATCTTGTCAACTTCCAAATTCAAAATTATGAATAAAAAATTTACAGTTTGATTATACGATAAATTGGGTTAGATTAATTTTATTTTATTGATTAAATAAGGAATAATACTAAATGTGACATAAATAAAGGGATTATTTTATGAAAAAAAGAAAAGTCAGAGTTTGTGTATGTATATATACATATGGTCTCCTGCTTGCGCATATCAGAATGCGGTATTCTCTCAATGCTTCCCGCCATCGTCGGTTATAGATTTTGAACGTTTCTTTTTCATTGATGAAAACCTGAACCTAACCTAAGTGTTTTGTTTTCAATAATACTACGCTAGTTTAGTTTAGGTGTTGTGAATCATAATAATCATGGAAAACTACTTGAAGAAGAATTTCGAAGTGGAAGCCAAGAACCCCTCAGAGGAAGCTTTGAGGAGATGGAGGAATGCCGTTCGTGTTGTCAAGAATCCTCGTCGCCGCTTTCGCATGGTGGCTGATCTTGCAAAGCGTGCTGAAGCTGAAACTAAGCGTAAAAAGATCCAGGTTGTTATATATATCTTTTGCCTTAATAATTTGCTACCTACATCTCCCTTATATATATGTGTGTGTGTGTTTTTCCGTGTTCATCTGGTTAAATAGGTAGATCTATCTCAAGAATCCTTGATAATTTTAACAGCATATTCTTAATATGGAAAGTTTAGCTGTAACAGTTTCAAATATTTTCTTAATAACCAAACAGAATCACCTTTTCTTTTGTTATGCATATGTCTGGTTAAATAGGTAGATCTATCTCAAGAATCCTTGATAATTTTAACAGCATATTCTTAATATGGAAAGTTTAGCTGTAACAGTTTCAAATATTTTCTTAATAACCAAACAGAATCACCTTTTCTTTTGTTATGCATATGTCTGGTTAAATAGGTAGATCTATCTCAAGAATCCTTGATAATTTTAACAGCATATTCTTAATATGGAAAGTTTAGCTGTAACAGTTTCAAATATTTTCTTAATAACCAAACAGAATCACCTTTTCTTTTGTTATGCATATGTCTGGTTAAATAGGTAGATCTATCTCAAGAATCCTTGATAATTTTAACAGCATATTCTTAATATGGAAAGTTTAGCTGTAACAGTTTCAAATATTTTCTTAATAACCAAACAGAATCACCTTTTCTTTTGTTATGCATATGTGTCTGAGCTTATAGTTTCATCATTGAGTAAATCTGATTTGGTTTATTCGTTAATATAATGAATTTTGTTGAATCGCCGGTTACACATTACTGTAACGCGTATAATGTGAAATAAGTTGGAGATTTTCTTCTGTGGTCGGCTAAAAGGGTTGAATTTGTTAGATTGAGTACATCACATGCATGCTTTCAAAATTTTCACAAGGCGGCCATTAATGCGTTCTCATCTTCATTAGAAAGTTCAGCGGTTCTTTCATGTGATTAGCCTTTTCGCTCGGCTGCTTCAAATCAACCCTTTCTTATTTATGGCAAGATATTGGCCACGATTTTACTATAGTGCTTAGAGAGTTACGCTATTTTCATGGAGAGAGGTCTTTAAACAGTTAAAATCGAATTTTAAATCTTCAAGTTTGAAACTGCATGCATGTTGAATATGAATATTCTGGCCGCCTGACAAGTTGAACAAGTCCTGTGCTTGAAGAAGAATTGTATGCCTTCTAAATTTTTGGACTTGTTGAATGATTCTGATACCTTTCTTAGTTAAAGTTATATACTTTTTCATCTCAATACCAAGAAGAAGATAAATGTAAAGAGTAGAAAGGTGCAAATAAAGTAGAAGCCTTTAAATATTCGATTCTCTTTTTATCTTCAATTCCATTATACTAGAGAAGGGATATTAAGTTAATTTAATTAAGTTATTGGTATACCCATTGATGACTAATTTTTTTTTCTTAGCTTCAATAATTCTGGCTGTCTACTAATATAATGGGAATAAAAAAAGCAAAGAAATATGAAAGAATATCTACATATTTCTTTTTAATCATCTACACCCATTTACTTGTTTGAATATTATTCATATTGAATGTTGGCAGCCCACTTTTGAGCTGTGTGTTTGACATCTCTTAAGGTACTATTCAACTTAACAAAAAAAGCAGCAACCAAATTGTAAAATGATGACTATGCTGTATTCAATCCTTATCTATTTGCACACAGAAGAACTGTTGGAGCTAATAAAATGGATAATTTGGAAGCAGATTGTGTTGTGATTGTTATGAATAATTTAAGATTCAACCCAGTTGTATGTTTTTCAGATAATCCTGTTCAGAGAACCAAGAAAACATATTTTTTAGAGTACTGTACATAATTTTATGACTGTTCATCAATCCAGAAGATCAAACAATACTTTTCATTTCCAGTAGTAAGCTTTCTGGCATTCATCCACATGGATTTTATTTGAACAACAGGCTTAATTTGGTGCACTAGAAAAAAAATTGTGTGTTATTTATAAGTATACAACACTACATTGGACATGTATTGAGATTTTCATTACAGAAATGATCTGTCAGCTTTAGAGTATTCATATATTGCTTAATGTTTTCCTGGAGTTCCTATCCTTATTGTGCTCTTACCTTTTTTGGCCAGGAAAAGTTAAGGGTAGCTCTTTTTGTGCAAAAAGCTGCATTGCACTTCATTGATGGTATGGTCTCAAGTCTCAATTAAATAATTAAAAGCTAATAACTCATCAAAGTCCTTGATTCTGTTCTAATTATAATATAATTTTATCTGATACAGCTGGTACTCGAGTTGAGTACAAGCTCTCCCAACATGTCCTGGAAGCCGGCTACGGCATTGAGCCTGATGAACTAGAATCCATTGCTCGATCTGACAAGAAGGCCTTGGAAGAGCATGGAGGAGTTGAAGGATTAGCAAGAGAAGTCTCTGTATCTTTGAAGGATGGCATTGCCTCAAGTGAAATAGCTAATAGACAAAACATATATGGGATCAACAAATATGCTGAGAAACATTCTAAAGGGTTTTTTATGTTCTTCTGGGATGCCTTCCATGACTTGACTCTTGTTATTCTCATGATATGTGCTGCAGTCTCCATGGGTGTTGGTATCGCCACCGAAGGCTGGCCTGATGGATTGTATGATGGATTAGGTATAATTCTGAGTATTTTCCTAGTTGTAATGGTTACTGCTTTTAGTGACTACAAACAATCCTTGCAATTCAAGGCGTTGGATAAAGAGAAAAAAAATATAATTGTTCAGGTGACTAGAGATGGATTCAGACAGAAAATTTCAATCTATGATTTGGTTGTTGGAGATGTAGTTCACTTATCAATTGGTGACCAGGTTCCAGCAGATGGTGTACTTATATCAGGTTATAACCTAACAATTGATGAATCAAGCTTGTCTGGCGAGCCTGAACCGGTTCATGTAAACCAACAGAGGCCTTTTCTATTATCAGGGACTAAAGTTCAGGATGGTTCAGGTAAGATGTTGGTGACTGCTGTGGGAATGAGAACTGAATGGGGAAGATTGATGGTTACACTGAGTGAAGGGGGTGAAGATGAGACACCATTACAAGTGAAGCTTAATGGGGTCGCTACCATTATTGGGAAGATTGGTTTGGCTTTTGCTGTGATGACATTTTTGGTTTTGACTGCAAGATTTTTAGTAGAGAAGGCATTTCATGATGACATAAAACACTGGTCTTCGGATGATGCATTGAAACTTCTAAATTACTTTGCCATTGCAGTGACCATAATTGTAGTTGCAGTTCCTGAAGGACTACCATTGGCAGTAACATTAAGTCTTGCCTTTGCAATGAAGAAATTGATGAATGATAAAGCACTAGTGAGACACCTCTCAGCGTGCGAAACAATGGGGTCTTCCAGTTGCATTTGCACTGATAAAACAGGTACATTGACTACAAATCACATGGTGGTGAACAGAATATGGATATGCAATGAAACTAAAATAATAAAGAGAGATGAAAATGAAAAATCTCTCAAGTCCTCAATCTCAGAAGTAGTATATAACATCCTTTTGCAGTCCATATTTCAGAACACTGGCTCGGAAGTAGTTAAAGGAAAAGATGGAAAGCCAAACATTTTAGGCTCTCCAACTGAGAGGGCGATATTAGAATATGGATTGCTTTTAGGGGGTGATTACAAAATCCATAGGCAAGAATCAGCAATAGTGAAAGTTGAACCTTTCAATTCAGTCAAGAAAAAGATGTCTGTTCTAGTCTCTCTTCCTGACAATGGGGGGTTTCGCGCATTTTGCAAGGGTGCATCTGAAATAGTTTTAAAAATGTGTGACAAGATTGTTAATGCAGATGGGGAAGTTGTGCCTCTCTCAGAAGATCAAAGAAAAAACATGACTAATGTTATCAATAGTTTTGCCTCTCAAGCTCTGAGAACTCTATGCTTGGCATACAAGGATATAAAAGACAAGTCCAATGTAGATGGCATTCCCGATAATGAATACGCACTAATAGCTGTTGTTGGAATAAAGGACCCGGTTCGCCCTGGGGTGAAGGAAGCTGTTAAATCTTGTTTAGCTGCTGGGATTACTGTGAGAATGGTCACTGGTGATAACATTTTTACTGCCAAAGCCATAGCTGAAGAATGTGGCATCTTGACACATGATGGTTTGGCTATTGAAGGACCTGATTTTCGTGCAAAGAGTCCACAGCAGATGCAGGAGATAATCCCAAAACTACAGGTGAACTAGATCCTAACTTTCTAAGGTCCTGCTACATAGAGAATTTAAATGTAGTTTTTTCATTTTCTCACTTCTAATTCTCTAGCTATGTGCGTAGGTTATGGCTCGATCATCGCCTACAGACAAACACACATTAGTTACTCAGTTGAGGAGTGTGTTCCATGAAGTTGTGGCAGTGACTGGTGATGGAACCAATGATGCTCCTGCTTTACATGAGGCTGACATTGGACTTGCTATGGGCATAGCAGGCACAGAGGTTTGTCACTTACCTCTTTTATGAGATCAGACGATGATCACCCATGATTTCTCTATTGCACCATCAATGGCTTAGCAACTTTCTCCTCTGTAGGTTGCAAAAGAAAATGCTGATGTAATCATCATGGATGACAACTTCAACACTATAGTCAATGTTGCTAGATGGGGTCGTTCAGTTTATATCAACATTCAGAAGTTTGTTCAGTTCCAGTTAACAGTTAATGTTGTTGCTCTCACTATCAATTTCGTCTCTGCATGTATCACTGGTAATGAGCCCTAACCTTTTGGTGTTTGATAATTGAGAGGACTATTAATTGTAACTCTGTGAACGAAATTTTACATTCAGGCTCTGCCCCTCTTACTGCTGTTCAATTGCTGTGGGTGAACATGATCATGGACACTCTTGGTGCATTGGCTCTTGCTACAGAACCTCCAAATGATGCTCTCATGAAAAGACCCCCAGTTGGGAGAAGTGAAAATTTCATCACCTTGACCATGTGGAGGAATATCATTGGCCAGAGCATTTATCAGATTCTAGTCCTTGGAGTTCTAACTTTCTATGGAAAACATATCTTGGGACTCTCAGGTTCAGAAGCTACTTTAACTCTCAACACATTCATATTCAACACCTTTGTGTTTTGCCAGGTACTGCTTCTCCATTCCAGCTTATTCTGGGGTAATCTTTTCAATTACATGCACATTATTAATGATGGTGTATACACATGCTTAGGTATTCAACGAAATAAACAGCCGAGACATGGAGAAGATAAACATTTTCAGGGGGATTTTTGATAGCTGGGTGTTCGTACTCGTGATGGTGGTTACAGTAGGTTTCCAGATCATAATAGTTGAATTACTGGGCACATTTGCAGAAACAACACCTCTAAACTGGAAGTTATGGTTGGCCAGTGTTGTTATTGGAGCTGTAAGTTTGCTTGTTGCTGTTGTTCTTAAGTGGATTCCGGTCGAAACAATTGAGCAATCAGTGAAAGACAAGCACCACGATGGTTATGAACCACTCCCCAGAGGCCCAGAGCTTGCATGAGGAAACTGGGTTGATTTATGGAGGACCTGAAGTACATGTTCCAGGGCAGCAATTTCAACCTGGTTACAAATTTTGACACCTTGATTCTCGAGGCTGATATAATAATTTAGTTCTAAACTTGAGCTACCTGGTGATAGAATTAAGATCTCGTNTTTCTTCTACATGGAGGACGACCTTTGCTACGAGCTGCCTGTGGACTAATGATTAGGGTATTCCCCTCTTTAAGAGAACTGTCCCCATCTTGACTAGTCAAACCGGTTCTAGAAGAGATGTTCACTGTTGTACCAACCCCTCCCTCACTTTCCTTTTGCTCTAACTGTTTACTCATGTCAACCATAAACTCCGTCATCATATTATAATCGTCCTCATTGTTTGATGCCAGATCCGCTACTGTCAGCATTAAATTAGACAACTTATCAAAACGTTGTCCTTCAATGTTGGTGGTCCACCTATTATAACTGACCTTAATTTTCGTATGACATCTGTTCACATTTTTCCTCTAACGCCGTAAAATGTACTTTTCCAGAACGTGTGAAACCCTTTTATGAATCAACACCATAATGGCATGTCTGCATAAAATCCCCCTAAACTCAAACAAATGACAAGTACAACGAATATCACAAGAACTTTCATTAAAGTATACTACATGAGGAACACAGAGACTATTATCTCCAAACCAAACATCTTCCCAAACTTGAAACTCCTCGCATGAATCACATTTTTTCAGAAAAGATAACTCACAATAAATCTTCCTTTGGATGACTGTTCACTCACACTGGACGCCCATCCATCAAATATCAGGTCGTTCCATATGCGAGGGAACGGCCGTCCATATAATTGGACGCCCGTCCCTATTAAAATAAAATAAAAAGTTTGTAAAAGTTTAAGGACACTGTCCATCCATTATTTGGACGAGCGTCCATAATATGGATGGGCGTTCCATATGCGAGGGACGGCTGTCCATATAATATGGACGCCCGTCCCATATTAAATAAAATAAAAAGTTTGTCAGTTTATGGGACGCCGTCCTCCATTATGGACGACTGTCCATTATTTTGGACGGCTCCATATTATATGGACGCCCGTCCCTATTAAATAATAAAAAATTTCAAAGCTTAGGGACGGCTGTCCATCCATTATGGACCCCGCCGTCCATTAATTTTGGACGGGCGTCCACAAATAATGCACGCCTGTCCTTCACACCCAAATATGAAACAACAAAATTTCCATGGGGAGACGCCCGTCCACCAATTGTGAGCCGTCCCTTAATTTTGGACCGCGGCGTCCGTAATTTTTGGCACGCCAGTCCAGTAATTCTTAAAAAAATTAGTTTTTAAACACTGGACCATCGTCCCTATCTTGGACACTCATATAGTGTGTACGCCGTCCATAATTGTGACGGGCTCCATACTGAAGGGACCCCTCATTCGTTATGATGGCCGTCCATAAGGTTGGACGGTCGCCTTTGTAAAGGACGGCCTGCCACCCTTATGGCGGCCGTCCATACTGTTATTAAAATTAAAAAAAAAAAATTCGCGTTTTAGGTTAAAACATTTGGGGACGTTCAAAATTTTTTACAACCCAGGCAGCCATTCCCACTCTCTCGTCTTCCATCTGCGTTTACTGCTTCTTCTTCATCTTCGCGGTGTTTTTCTCTGGACTCCTGTTCTGTCGCTTCTTCTTCGTCTTGGTAATTCACACTTTCCTTTTTCAAGTTTTTTTTTAATTTTTTTTTTTGGTTGGTGAATGTGTTGAATGGAGTTGAGTTGATAAGATAAATCCAGTCAATTTGGTGGGACTGGTTTGTGTGATTATGAATAGAAGTGTTCTGCTATTGATAAAGATAAATGAAGTTTATTTTACATGCTGGTTTGTGTAAACTCACCGTGAAAGAAAAATTGGTTTTAGGTGTATTATGTTAAATTGATTTTAAGCACAATTTAGACAAACTTTGATTCGAACAAAGGCTAGAATAGCACGTATATGGAAACAGCCATAGACTTCCAGTATCCGTGCTTCAATGTTGTGATTTCTCATTTCCTTTCTATGAAAATAATCATAGATAAGTGTGGCACCATTCATTTCTTGCGGTTCTTGTGAGTTTTGCCGAGCTTTAATGTACATTGGTGAGAATGGTTTAATTTGTTAGGTCAACCTGATGGATAATTGAGTATGTGTTTTGGGTTTTTGTTTTAAGTTGTAGCGGAGAATGTTTGCTTGATTATTGGTGGATGTATATATGTGAGTTCTGGTGATATTTGAGCTACATTGGTGAGAAGATTTTGCTTTTGTGAGGTTGTTAGATGGTGTAATGAAGCTGTCCTTTTGTTGGTGTATTGAATTCATAATGCTGATTGTTTGATGAGCAATTGTTTTACGTTTGATGTCTATCATACGGGTATGAATGCCACAAACAGCATCACACAAAAGGGGAAATTGCAGCTGGCAGGATCTTTAGTAAATAAACACTTCTGGAAAAAAACAAACTTACCTTTTGTTGTCAATAGCAGTTGAATCTATGTCCTGTCTAAACTCTCATTTGATGCACAAGAGAGAATTAGCATACTATCGTCAGCTTTTGAAATGCCTTTTTTTGCTTTTTTGATTAGTCCATCTAAATTCATGTAGGTCGATTTTTTTATAGGGATACCCCTTTTGTTTTGTTTCCTCCCAAAAATGCGCATTGCATCCCCTTGAATTTCCCTTGCCTACACATCTCATTGATCTACATGAAACTGATGACTAGTTGAAAAATTGAGACTATTGAAACTACATGTTAGCTTCAATATTCTGGCTGCATGTATACCCCTTTATGAATCAAATCCCTCATAAGTCTCATGCATTCACCACACTCGCCCCTGTACCATGTTAAACTGCATGTTATCACCCTTGATGACAATTTTTTCTTCTTAGCTTCAATAATTCTGGCTGCTACTAATATATGGGAATAAAAAAGTAAGAGATATGAAAGAATATCTACATATCAAAAATCATCTAAACCTATCTAACTTTGATATTTCATATTGCTTTATTGTTTTATTCTAGCAAGTGGAAATGTTGGTAGCCCACTTTTGAGCTGTGTGTTTGACATCTCTTAAGGTACTATTCAACTTAACAAAAAAATCAACCACCAATTGTAAAGATGAATATACGTATTCACTCTTATCTATTGGCACACAGAATACATGTCGTAGCTAATAAATGGATAATTCGAAGCAAACTGTGTTGTGATTGTTATGAATAACGTTTAAGATTCATCCTAGTTGTATGTTTTTCACATAATCCTGTTCAGAGAACCAAGAAAACCTATTTTTTAGAATGCGCATAATTTTACGACTGTTCATCAATCCGAAGATTCAAACATACTTTTCATTTTCCAGTAGTAAGCTTTCTGGTATTCATCCACATGGATTTTATGTGACAACAGGTTTAATTTGGCTATGTGTCTTTGGCAGATTATGTATGACATTTTTAATGTATACAGGTTTTAGAGGAAAGAAGAAATGGTGAGGGCAAAAAATACAACGTTCCTCAGAAGGCACATCCTCATCTGCACTTCAATTTCGAGACTGGCGGATAAAAAATAATACGAGACATGTCAAAAAAGATATTTTTGCCTTGGAAGAAGTTTGATTTAGACGCTAACAACTTTGGTTTAGGTGATGAAATCATGGTTGATTAATCATTTGACATGGGACCGTTTAGTCAGTATGAGATATGATGGATATAGGCATTTGATATATGAGTTTTTTGGTAGTTTGGAAGTTGTAGAGCGACAGTGATGAGTTTCAGGCGTATACATGTCTTTAAATTAAGAATTAGAACTTTGTGAGTGACACCCAAGATTTAGCAACCTGGATAGGATTTGATTGTGAAGGTTTGGAAAACGTACCTAGAAACTGGGATTCCAAACAAGCTTGGATTGATGTTTCCGGAATAGGGACTTACCATCCACATAGGTGTAACTAACAAAGTTACAGAATCCCGCTATGAGAGTATTCACAGATACTTGACTTTCCATTAATGGTAGGAAAGAGACAAAGGAAATGTGACGGTTAAGGATTTATTGTTCTGGAATGCAGCAGTAATCAGGGAGGCAAGTTATTCAGCAAGTTATTGATTAAGAAGTTTGGAGAGATCCCTACGAGAAGGAGAAATATATTGGGGGGATGCTGTTACGTTAATATGTGAGAGTTGAAATATGAGATCACCCTGATGATGCAAAAAATAAGATTCGTTTTCTACAACGAATGTGTTTGGGGATGGTGACATTGAATAGAATGGGTTTGATTAAAAAGATGTGGTAGGACAATGTATCTTATTAGGGATGAAATCGAGGGAGATCAACGGTTTCAAGAGTGTGTCAGTATTCAAGAAGGGTTACTGAAGGACAAGTCTAGTGCGCAAAAGAGAAGACATGTACTGAACCTGGACCATCTGAGAATGTAGAAATATGGGTTCTCATACTTTACAGGAATAGAAAGCAGATTTGTGCGGATGAAAAGTTTCAAGAAGAGCGTTTTTCACGTACGTGAAGGCAATGCAGAACTGCAAAGTGATTTCAACACGTTTGCATCAAGATGTGAAGAAATAGTTTGACATCATTGGAGACCGCATGACAAAGATTTTCACATGATAAAGAACTTCTCAACAGCCTCCTCATCCTTCTATCAACCTCCACCCCCTGCACCATGATGAAGGGATTTTTCCCTTTGTTTATAAATAGATTGATTTGAGCGATGTTGTTAATAAATATTGTATTTTTTTAAAAATAAAGCTGTCTTTTGTTTATAAATAATTTGTCTTTTGTTTATACATATGTCTACACTCTTTCATGTATTGTATATGTAATACTAGACATACCCGAAGACATAAAATTCAAATCTGAAAAGAATGCATATCCAAATGCCATATACATTAACGTCATTATCACGAATTCACATCCTACACAATCAATGAGAAAATACAAAAAATACACAATTGTAAAGCATACAACCGACTGCATTAGGTAAAATTAACCAAAGCATGAAAAATTTATACCAAATACAATTCTATATGCTTCAACTTGGCAAAAATATCAAACATCTCCAAC